CCTCAAGGGTCTGAGGACCTTGGCAGGGGGGTGATGTTACACCTCAGACAGGGGTCTTTCCTTTTTCGACTCATCACAGTCACATGCATCACATGCCTCGTTGTGTCCCTCATAGTTGTTGCCATCCCAGGGGTTCATATGCTGTGAGCTCCCTCAGATCTCCAGCTGTCACAGTATTTCCAATACCTGTTGAGACCCTGCATCCTCTTTGATCTGGTGTCCCACTGCCCTCCCTGATGGATGACATGTCTCTTTCTTGCTCCAACTGACTTGTTTATATTGCCTTCTTGTTGTACTATAGATCTGGTGTCTGGCCCCTCACTGTGCATTGATTGTGCAGCTGGTATAGCCTTTGTCTCCCTGCCATCCCCATCAAATGACACCATATGACTCCTTTTGACTCAGATGTTTAACTGATCATTTTGTTGATTACTGTGGATACACGTTGTGACACGTCACATTACAACCAGTATGGTACCCTTACTTAGAGGTGTATAAAGTCATGTACCATACCTTGTATCCTCAGTTTTTTGATAGCTTGCAACTCAGCTAAATCCTTTGCTTTTGTCCTTGTCCCCTCTCCATGTGACTACCCTAGTGTATCACCAGAAGAGCAAACCTCTGTCAGAATTCAGCAATAACTGAGCCATAGGGGTTATGATACGTTTGGCCCATAGACTCCCCCTCGTGCACTTCATGCCTATTCCATTTGAAGAAGTCACCACACTTGGGCATAACACCATATGGTATTCACACAGTAAGACATAGGAGACAAAAATGGATGTCTATCTAAAGTTTTTGAGACAATGTTTATATATGAGGAGGCATGTGATACCTTAGGTATCACATGCCCATACTAAGTAGTTCCTATTTTTGGGGAATAACCCCTAACAGTTGGCATGGATGACTGTGACACCACAGCCATTCACTATTGTGGATGTCTGCTCAGACTGTCATACACTGAATCTGATTGCCTTTTGCAGAGAGCCCTTTATGATTGCTCACCTCAGACAACTGCTCAATGCTTTGCTTCTCATGCAACAGCTGAATGGAGAGTACAAGAGGGTTGCTGCAGAGAATGAGATTGTCATCCTGGGACTCAGGACCAATGTCACTTCCAAGAACATTCTGGTGGCAGTCTTGGAAATCCTTTGATGTGTGTCTGCCTTTTGTCCTTTATCAGTCATTTTTCTTTTTCTTGGCTCATTTGTTACATTGAAATGGATATGGAGCCTCTGGAATGTATGATGGTAGATAATGTATCTGTGGTTTGGTCAGTCATGGTAAGTTTGGTCTCAGCAGGACATATGAGCAATCTTCAATGATGTGGAGGATCAGCAGTACACACAATGATGCAGACCTGCAGACTTGTCCTTTGAGTGTCCAGACAGTGTCAATGATACCCAAGTGATAGAATGTTGCTATGCAGTCTGCACTGTGGTGGGGAACAGTAGTGAAGTTGAGCAACAACCACCCCTGATCATTGAGGCCTTTTGAGGGATCAGATTTGGGTTCTGCATGTGAAGTGTGGGTGGTCTGTTTCTTCATAGGAGATGAACTGAAAGACATGTGACCTGTAACACTTCCTCACACAGCTCTAGCATCTGCAACACTGCTCTCTAGCAAAGTAGCTGCTTGCAGAATGGGACAAGGCATCTCCCTCACCAGGCATGTCTTAACTGTCAAAACACATATAATAGCATCATACAAGTAGCAGTACATTCATGACTGTGGAGGGCATCTACACACATCTGAGGTGCAGGCAGTCATGCAGAATCATGTGGTAGTGGTCCATGACCAGGTCACCTGGATGATGTTCCATGATGTAATGGTTGCAAAACCCCAATTTTCCCCACCCCCTAAGCCCACATGACTGGAGTTAATGGTCCTAAAGTCCTGAATGACCATTGGCAACAAAGAGTTTACAGACCTGGCCTGACGGCGTCCAGGAATACTATTCCTTATGGTGCAATCAGCAGCACACAGCAGTTGGCAGTCACAAGAAAGTCACGACCAGTCACACATGTTGAATATTAGCTAGCAAGGTATTAGAGTAGTATTCGTAGCAGTATGTGCTAATAAATTAGTTCCGTGATGGCATCCGACCGTAATTGCCTTAATGTGAGCTCTGAACCTTGAGGGGTGGAGTGGGGTAGCTGAAGTCCACAACCACGACCCCCTGTGCAGGGGTATGGATCTGTAACTTGGCATCAGAATCTGCATGAGCCAAGTGAGCTCCCAAGCATCGATCGCTAAGTGCGTCCCGTATTTGGTACTAGCCGCGGACAAGGAGGTGCAAGGAGGTCTTGAAGCAGACGGGACGAGTGCGATGGGGACGGAGTTTGGCACGGAGATGGAGGAAGAGAATGGTAAGTCCTTATTGTACCACCCATTGCCTAACGTGTCTTGGTGTTGATCATGAGAGGTCACTATTTTCATTTCATTTTTTCAGATACTTGTCAAATGCCACCTCCGCCAATTCCAGTTTTGCTGGATCCCACAACGGTATCTCACCCCCGTATCCGTACCATGCTTAAGCCTTCCCGCACGATGCGATCCAGCATCACATACCAGACCAACTAGCCCGACGAATGATCAGCGAAATCAGCTAACGGTTCTCTTAGAGCATCCTTCTCTAGCTATGCTTAGTAAGGCATGTCTCCGACATCCCCTGGCATTTCAATATCATAGCACCATCAAAACAGATGTGTCCCAACACTTTCAGATCATGCTCCTTGCAGATGGATTCCATGCCGGCCACAGCATCCGGCCTCCGTATACCTCTCTCCTGCTTAAGTCAGGTGGATATCGCGCTTCACCAATTCTCCCTGCCCAGTCGAAATCGATTATCTTGAACATCTTTCCATTGTGTGACACCATGACGTTCACATCACGAATAACGCCATGGACGAAGCCTGCAGCGTAAAACGCCTCCAGTTTCTCGTTAAAATCATCCATGACAGGCCCGGTAGCGGGCTGCTTGTATAGCGTCACATAGTTGGAGAGCATATTCGCGCCCACCATGGTCCAGTAGCGTGGGACCTCCACGGAAGCTCACGGGGTTGGTGTACATCCTAAAGACTTGTAAACATGGTGTACCTCGGGCGCAAAATGTCTGACGCATTTGATGCAGATCTCGTCGTCATTGCGTTTAACAGTCCCGAAAAATAAGCATTTGTCGGGGTTAGACATCTTCCGATACTAGAGTTCTTAGGTTTTTTTTGCCATCAGCAGTCGTCGGATAACTCGTGGGGTGTGGGAACATATGGGGGGAGGCAGCCGCTGAGGAGGGGGGTTTAATTTTGCAGACCAGGGATCTTCGTTGTAGTATTTCTTCAGCAACCAGAGAGCTTTCCGAAACGCAGCCAAGCCGCATGCTCTTGAAAAGTCTCGGTTTTGCGTACCTCGCGAACGCGAAAAGTGCAAGTAAGACCCGAAGGGTTCTCCGCGAGTTGGATGCAAATTCCAAGCAGCGCCATAAATAGCAATGATGGGGCCCTAGAGGGAAGAAAGAGCAGGGGGGATGGAACAATTCGTTCACTGACCAACAATTGTGAACAGAAAACATGGCAGCGTAGATCCCGTGAATTTAGGCGCTGTCTCGTTATAGGTTTGGACAATCAAATAACGATGATCGCTGGCGCACAACTCGCCGCCCGCCTCGAAATTCTTGATCTTGGTGCTGGTGGGGTCCGAACCACAGTTTTTTTTTTTTTTTGGAAAACTGCCTTCATGTGCTAGGTTCGTGCTCATAAACCTCCGTCATCGAGTCTGCAAAGTCCTGACCAAACATGTAGCCCTCACATGCGTATTGGTAATTTAGACAGTCGTCCAAGAACTAGCCAAAATCTTCATGTGGTAACGTCAGAGGGATAGTATCATCTGCCTCTTGAGAGCAGGCGCAGGTATGGGTCAGCTTTCGAGGTGCTGGTGCTCCCGAAACGATGATATACTTAAGGAATTGGAAGGCACTGCCTTGTGATTCTGACTGAAGAACGTCTTTCCGTACGACCGCAGCGGCATGATCTTCCATGGTGGGAGGATATGGGGGTGGAGCTGGTATCACTGAACCTGGGAATCAATATGGTTCGACGAGAAGTCGACATCACTTACTTTCAGCACACCAAACCTCGGCAGCGATCCAAGGCGTATCTTTAAGTAAATGGAAGATCCTTAACAGTTTCCGATATCGTTTTGCTCCTAAGGAGCAAAGTACCCCTATACGTTTTTTCCCTTTAAATTCGAGACGACGCTCGAGACGGAACATAGCGCAAGCAAGACAAGGAGCACATCGCTCAGGGATCGCGTGTATTTTTTTGACCACGACCTTGAGAGCATCGACTGTTTGATCTGAACGAATTACAATCCCGAGACCTAGCGCGGACGCATATTGTGCGCGAACTCCAAGTCGCTGTTTCGCAACCAGCACGCAATTTTAATTACAGCATCATAGTCCAGAGGAATAAAGTATGGATCATTATCGCCGCACAGCAATTACAAGTGCCACAGACCAACAATGATTCACGGAGTGAAGGTGAAATTGGTCTTCCGGTGGTGTTGAGCTGAAATGGCTTACGTCAGTAAGTCAGTGTATCGTGAATGAGAAACAGAGTTGAGCCGTCAAATTTCAAACGTCGGGCCGGAGCCTTGCAGCAGGACTTGGGCTGGATAGCTCCGCATAATTGAAACAGAGTTCAAATAAACACGTTGTCCTCCCAAGGACGATTCATCGTCGTCAGATCGCCTAGACTTGTAGTGAGAAGGAAACGATCCAGTCAGCTTTGGAAATCAGCGAGCAGCAGTGCCATGGAGGTGGAGAGTAGTGTGATGTGTAACCAGTGGTTGACTGTATACCGTGTACGTGCATGGAAGGCGACGGAGTATCGTTAAGACATCTGTCCAGAAAAGATGTTTGAAGAGGACGTTCTCGTCGACACCATGATGGCATCACAAACAACCGATCGCTTCTCCACAAACGTATTGGATCCTTTCCATCCCCTCTACACTTCTACCTTCACGGCCGCTGTCGCCGCGTCCTTCTGCGAATTCGCGCCCGAAGCAAACCACTCCTCGTAATATACGCATCCCTGTGGATTCGTCGGCCCCTTATCCCGACAAAAATCAAAAACAGGACATCGCCCGCAAGGGGCCTGCGACCAGCCGAGCACGACGCGCTCTTGTCTGATCGCACGGTATACGAAGGCACCATCCGAAACCTCGCTGGATTCAGATTCTTCGGCGGAAGACGTATCCTGGCGTTTTTTCGACTTGCGTTTATGTTTCTTTTTTCTGTCTTCCTCCTCTTCCTCCTCTGAAGATGAATCACTGTGTTTACTCTTGCGCTTCCTCTTCTTCGACGATTTCGCAGAACTTTCTTCGTCGCTGTCCTCGTCTCTCTTTGACCGTTTCTTCCGTTTCTTCGCCCTTGACCGATCCTCAGACTCGCTGTCCGAATCGCTTTCGGAGTCTTCTTTCGTCCTCCGCCGTTTGAGTTTGTTCGACTCTTTGTTCTTACTGGAACCACGTTTGCGCTTCTTCGAGCGAGAGCGGTCGTCTTCGCTTGATTCAGATTCCGAGCCGGAACCACTTCCTTCAGAATCAGACGGAGGATTCCAGGCGCCAGCGCTGAACGCAGGAATCTGCGGCGTCGTCAGCGAAAGAACTCAACATGGGACAATGAAGCAAGGTGAATTGTCACACCTTTTCAATCTCGCCATCGAGCTCCAATACCCTCAAGAGCATCTCTACATGCTCGACTCCCAACTCCGTCTCCGTAATTTTACTCTTACTCAGGAAGAGTTGTATTTGTTGTGCGGATGGGTAAGATGGAGCTGCGCCTATCGCGTATAAACGTATTTGATTCCGTGAAACCCGTTTGCTGTTCTGCTTCGGGAATGACTGGTGGGCAAACGTGTGAGTCTCCTCCAATATGTAGATAGAAATAGAAACCCTACGCGGTCGCGGATGTAATGGAGACATGCAGAAGATAAAAGCTTGATAAACTCTGCGTCTAGTTCATTGTCGGTGTACCAGGGACCACCCGTGAGTTCTACCGACGGCTCCAGGTGAGCGAGCATGTATATCTTGCGCGTTGGGTGCTGGTGTATGCATATGCACGGTACCATCAGTTGTCCATTCTTCGCGAAACGAGTATTTTCAGTGGGATCATCTACGTACTCGGACGGCTTTGATGGATTTGACGAGTTGTTTTTGGACTAGGGATTTCAGACAGCGATCGATGATGGTCTGGTGCAGTTCGGTCTTGGCTTTTAGGTGTTTCGTCCATATTCCTGCAATGATCATTTGATGCGTAAGAAAGATGATCTATGAGGAACTTCTGCTCCATCACACCTTCATTTCCGGACGCTTGGACGTGGCTGAGGACCATAGCTTCTTCGGGCGCCATGTCCTTCTTTCTGAGACAGATGGATAAGAGAACGCGACACATAAAGTAGTAGGGGACCACCTACATCTCCATCTCGTTCTTGGCCACGGCTCGGAACGCGGTTACTGCTCCAGCACTGGCAGTAACCTTGAACATCCCCTACACCGTCCAATCAGGAAGGCACACAGAAGCCGTTTAGAGGAACGTTTACCGTCCCGAGCAGAAAGTTGACGGCGGCCGTGCGAGCAGCTGCATCTGGTACGACCTTTTCAGCATCTTTCACTGCGAGTATCTGTTGAATGAAGATCTTTCATTACGACACGATTTGGGTAGGGGATCTCTGAGGGGATTGGCTGACCTTGTCGTGTGCTGCGAGAGCAGCTTGATGGAGCTTGAGCTCATCCGCACTGAGCTTTCGGCTGCTCATTGTGCTGTGTGTACTAGATGTCACCGAGACTTGGTAGTGGACTTGAAGTGCAAATAATCACGTGACAGTTACCAGTTGGGATCGACAACACTCACCGTGGCCCGACCGCCGCCTACACGTCCACCACGGCAACATGGCCACTCGCAAACGGGGCGAGCAAAAAGATGTTGGCGAGAGCCTGTCGACTTACTTTGAAAAGTGCACGGAGCTAGTGCGACAATATGCAGACGTGTAAGTCCATTCTCATTACGCCACGGTTGACCATCCTGATTAATGGAGTCTTTGCCAGGATCGAGCAAGACTATGCACGTCCAGCCATAGCAATTGGGATTAGAAAGTTCGAAGAGAAACCTATAATGATGGTTCCTCCACTTCGCTGTCATTGACGTCGTTTGCTGAATCCCTGTAGACATTCGTTACTGTCCTTTCCGTCCTTGCTATTCTGCCAATATTGTCGTTCGTGTGCGTACACATTCCGTTCTGCCTATTAATTCAGAAAAGCTTCTAGCGGGATATCTATCTTTATCATTTCGTCTATCGTATTCGTCGCTGCCGCATCTGCGATCACGGCTTCCCTCGTGACCGAGTCAATCATCGGTATGTTCAGGCAGCATATAGTCCTACAACTACCTTTTTTTAATCTACCGCTCCAATCATACAGTGTCGATCGGGATATGTACGCTGTACTCGCTCGTTCTCGTTGCAGTCTTTGCGACGACTTTCTTACTTTCTTTATATTCGGTCTTTCGATTTGTCTTGCTGGTGCGGTCCAATGGTCGGTCTGGTATCATGGAGTGGGTTATGGAGACAAGACAACACTTGTTACTACCCAGACGAGTGGAAGAAGAATGCGAAGGACCGAACGGGCCCGATATCACCGGGGTTCAGCATCACATATCTGACCATGCAAGCCTGACCGATGACTAATCCCAGGAGATCGATTGAATCAGCAGTGGTTTTCTACTAATGATATTCTCGGGCTACGCTAGCATGTTTCAAACATACCCCTGGATTTTAATGTTATGAATGCGCTCCTCAGCTATAATACTAACATCCGCGTACATCCAGGCCAAGAGTGCAGTGAATACCGCAGATCCTAGCTCAGGTGTCGATCTATTAAAATACTACTAGTGAGTATGTTATTGATGCATCGTGGCGTAAGTTAGACAAGTTGCACACGCACTAGTCGGTGAAATAGGTGGGTCCGCCCGCCCTCGAAACGACCGCTGGCGAGGAACATCGAGTGCTTTCAAAGAGCTTCCTCCAGATGTACTTGGTGTGTAAGCAAACAAGATCACGGCTTACTGACAGATATCATGTAAACTGGTTCCCTGAGAGCCTGAGGCTTAAATCTGTCACTGGTTTGACACAGCTAAGATGATCCAATCAAGACACGACTACCAAATTTGCTGTCTGAGGAAACATGACTTGAGGAATCTGGTGGCAGCGACTCACCGGACACTACAGTGGTATTTCAGTAGATCAGCAGCTGGGGTAGGATCTGCAGTATTCGTTACACGCTTAGCCTAAATGCACGCAGAGCGCATACATGACATTAAAATCCAGGGGTATGTTGGTGTAGCCGAAAACCACAACCAGACGTCACTGATTCGGTCGATCACCGGGGATCAGTCATCGGTCAGGCTTGCGTGATCAGGTATGTGATGCTGGACCGCGGTGACATCGGGCCGATTCGATCCTTCGCATTCTTCTTCCACTCGTCTGGGTAGTAACAAGTGCTGTCTTGTCTCCATAACTCACTCCGTGATACCGGACCGACCGTTGGACCGTACTAGCGAGACAAATCTCCGGAGGCGCGAGCGCTTCATGTTGTATGGACGAGGCCTGCGGTGCAAAGGAAGACCGCCAGAGGTGTATGCATTGAAGCCACTCGGTCGGCGTGGAGGATGATCGCCCGGATGGTATGCATTGAGGCCGCTGAGTCGATATACAGCGAGACCACCCGGACGATACTCGCCAAAACGATGTGATCGATGCGAATATGGACGATCTGCGAAGTGCACACGGGGATACCTTGGGCGGTACGTCGCAGGCCAAGGACGAACTGGATCTCTGGGCGGGAGCGCGGGCAGAGGGTCTTGGTGGCTGGAAGTCGCGGTACGGCCAGTCCGGAGTGACCCAAGACATCGAGGAGAGTACCAGTGAGACGGGGATCGACCACTGGGATCGGTGGAGGATGACGAGTTCCGGCGGCTTTCCCGACAGAAGTAACGTGCGATGGAAAGAAGAGTCACGGTGAGAATAACGACGGATATGACTGCCAGCACGACGACTGGGGCATCTGTGTGGTTCTCGGCGCGCTTGACACGACGAAAGACGGCCGAGCGAGCGTTGACGACAGGTACCAGGTTAGGGGACATGGTGGGCGAAGAAAGAAAACCGGGCGGGCGGTAGAAACAGGGGGGAGGATACATCTATATATGTACTGTTCCTGTCAGTCACCGGTGCAAGCTTACGGGGAGCAACACACTCCGACACATGCTTGCACGCTGCGGGACTGTACGCTCTCCTAAGATACGCAAGCAGGGGGAACAGTCCTTGGATGTCGTGTTCCGATATCTCTGAGCACCTACGGGATGAGCCAAATGACGAGCAGGGGTCAACCCTCCAAATGTACCTGGAAGTAGCACACTCGCCATTCAGAACAACCAGACTTCCAATAAGACACACGTAGTACGTACGCAGCGAAACTTCAGTGTCATTTATGTCGAGTAATGTTCGCAGTCACCGAGTCCATCGGCGAGGAATCCAACTGTCCGACTTACGTAATTTACGGCACACTACGCGGTTTTTGAATTTTTCTTCCAAGTTGCGTTCGGATTTTCAGATGCGACCTCGAACTTACCCTGTTGCTAGTACTTCATACGCTCTTACTCGCTAATTAGCTGGCGGATGTTGCCCCGTAGTCTCGTTCCAAAACTTCATACTGACTGACTCATCCCAGAAGGTTATCTCTGTATCCTTCCGGGAGAGCCTCTCAGTTGGGTTAGAGACTAGTAGAATTGAAAGAGTCCGTGGGACATATCTTGAAGCTTGAAGCGTCGGTGACGTTTGTATTGACGTTCGCAGTCGTCAGTGAGGAACTTGTATGGTAAAATGTTGACCAGCCAGCTGGTCGCAACTGATCAACGTTTTGCTATACAGCGTCACCCAACTGTCTGACTTTGTAATTCATGCTCCTCATCAACCGTTCCGAAATCTTGGTCCACATTCCATGTCTCCGCTCCGATACGCTCCTACATTCCAAAGCAAGCAAGGTCCCCTGGCAGCAGGCGCGGCGTCTGTACCGAGTTGTCGGCAGCACGTCCCCTAAGTAGTTCAACAAGGTCCGTGCTGTATCCCCCCCACATTCCCTGCCTTCGCTCCTCGCATATCAGTCGATACGACGGTGACCAGTCCCGGCTGGATTCTCTTCCACCTGTGACGTGAACTTCCTCGTGTCCCAGGGAGAAGACAATCCACCCTAGTATCAATACCATAGTACCACTCCAGGAAGTAGTATCTCCCCAAACTGATTCAACCTCTAATAGTCCATCCCTCGAGCTTCAAGGTTTGTTTCTTCTCCATGTTTCGAACCTTTGTACCGCCCGTTAATGCTCACCGCACCCCCCAATGTAGAGTCAATTTCATTGGACAAGCCAACTACCCTCGGATCACGTGTGTGAGGTATTTAGTATTCCCGAACTGACATGTTTTGTTTCTATATCCTCATACCTTGACAGCTCTAATTTTCACTTTTCGAACTTCTACTGCCAACCTTGTGCCCAGTTGGATGTTTGGATCCATCATTCAACCTGACACATGTGGTGGCAGCTTCCAAAACAGTACTTTTTGTAACACATGAACAGATATGTTCATGCCATGATGAACTCACAGAATGAACTGGCCATTTGGGGTGCCTCCACCACCCAGGGCCCTGGTTTTGAGTACAAGAGACTCAAAGCTGATGCTCTCTGCCAACTTGTGGTACCTTATCTGTGGAGAAAACTAGGCTCAATGTATGACAGACAATCTGATGACAATGACAATGATGATGAGAAAAATGATCATCTGGAGGGTGTGCTGGAGGTTGAAATCAAACCCTGGAATGAAGGTATTGTGTACTCTTTTTGTCTGACTGATCACTGACCATTTTTGCAGATGTCATGAGCATAAGGGATGCACACCCATTAAAGGGAGAGATCACACTGGTCAAGGTGTTGCAATAAATGCAACCAGACAGGGGATTGAACCCTGGACCTCCCAGGTTTTGACCAGGTGCTCTAACCACTGAGCTATTTGGTCAAGGTATCTTGGCTTACTTGGTGTGGTTTAACCACCAAGTGCTAGTAGGGACTAGCATTGCTGAGTGCTGGAGTACTACACTTGCAACACAAGGCTCCTGATGGAATGGTTTTGCACAAGGTGTCTGACAATCCTGAGTGGCAGAAGTCTTGTGAAGAAGAGGATCCAGGTATGGCAGCACCTCATGCACAGAGTGGAATCCCATTTCCATCATGCAAGTGGCCTCATGTGGAGGTGACAGATAATGATACAGTTCCTTATGAGGTGAGTCAATCCACTCAACCTCTAGTGTCCACTAATGTTCCCTGAGGCTTCACACCCTGACTGCCATATGCCCCTGCATGGATGAAGGCAGGGTTGCAGTTCCATTGCTGGCAACTGCAGTGTAGTGATTTACCCCACTGCATTTTGGTTGAAACTAACAGGCAACATGCACAGGATGCACTTCATGACCCACCAGCATACATGAGCTGTGAGAACACTCAAGAGCCTGGTTGATCTGAGTGCCCCTTGCCAGCTTGGTGCTATGGGGTGAGGTCTGGTGTTAAGTTCATGACTGGGTTGGGGGTTGAAGGCCAAAGGCTGAGTGCTGGGTGCATCAACCCTTGGTCTTAGCTCATGCACTAGACCCTTGTGCAAGCCAGGTTGAAGTCAGAGAGAGCTGAGGGGGTCAGGAGCAAAAGCCAAGAGATGTCTCAGGCTTAATCTAGGAGCTGAGGGGTGAACTAGATTGATATTCAGACTGAGGAACTAAGTACAACATATGTAGAGTATATATACTGAAGACTGGCAACCCAAAGGCCAGGGTTACCAGTGAGGGACTAAATAGCGATGCCAGGAACTAACTAAAAGTCAAGTGAGGAGGCTGTTAACTTAACCCAGCCTTAAGGCCTTGTGCCCAGTGTCAGAGACTGAAGAGAAAATACACTGGGCACACGCAACTGCTAAGTGCACAAAAATGGTAAACAAAGGAAAACAACCAGTCACAACATACCACAACACTGTATAGTGTAGGAATGCAAACTTAGAGCATATTAGTGTAGCATATAACAGTAGAATAAATGAAAATGCAAACAGAGGTGCAGAGGCACCACTGTAACAGTGGTGTGACCACCGGATGCCAGTAGATGCTCAATGAAATCCATGGAGATGGAATTCCACAGCTTTTCTGGTATCAGCAGTTGTTTCAGGGTGCCATATGGTCAGTGTCTGGGTGTTTTGGCTCTCATGCACATAGTGCAGGACTTCACATATTCTTTGACAAAGGTGTGAACACCAGGCTAGGTATACTCTCACCAGATCAGTTCCACCATCCAATTCTGGCTGAAGTGTCCTGACAGTGGGTGGGTGATCATGCTTGTACCAAAGGACCTTGAGCCAAAGGTCATTGGCATCTGGTCCATAGATCTGGTTATTGAGGCACAGCAGAGCAGTGCTATTGACTGACCACTGAGGGTTGGAAGTGTCTGTGAGTCAGTGTTGGGACAGTGGGTCTGAGGGTAGTGCAGCAAGTATTTCATTGTGGAGTTGTTCTATGTCCATTAGAAGGCTGGCACTGTGAGTCAAAGTGAGGAAAGGTGGTGAAAACCAACCAAATCCAACACAAAAGACGAATAGAAGCAAGTGGTGGTTTGCCTCCATGGAACCTGGAGAGCAGAAAAACCTGATGTGGGGGGGGGACTTCAGGTAGAATGCTCCTGGCACAACTTGTTGATGAGTTATGCAGGAGTAGACAAGCAAGCAATGACTGGACAGGGGATGCTGAACAGAGTGAAGGTGTTCAGCTGAAAGGACCTCTGGAATGATGGACTTTGATAAAATGTGCTCCTGGCACAAGCCAATGATGAGTTATGCAGGAGTGGAGGAATGACTAAGTGTATGTGCTGACTAAGCATGGGGATAAAGCTTCAGATAAATGATGGAGGTAGATAGACTCTTCCAAATGAGCCTCAACTGTCAATGACAAGGTATGCACTAAGAGAGCTGAACTGACTGACTGAATGACTTCTGGACTGCTTCTGCACTTGTGGATTGCTTGGGTTGTAGCTAAGTACATGGGGGTTTAAATACTGTGGGGGGAGCACAGCTTGTGACAAACAAGGCAAAAACACTTGGTAAGTAATGAGTAAGGACTGAGTAATCATGATGAGTAAGTGAGAAATGAAAAGTAAGCAAGCAAAGAGGATTGGTAAGTATTGGCGATAAATGAGTTGAGGATAGTTGAAAAATCGTGGAATGAGTCGAATGGAGTCAGAAACTGAGTAAGTGCACTGATATCACATTAGGGGGTGGCAATGCAAGTCAGATCTTGGTGGAGACATCTCTAGATCCAAAGATAGCATGACAGATGGGTGGTGTTTCCAGATAGGGAAGTATTAATTCCAGAATTGAAGGGCACAAGTCAGGCATCAAAGGGCTAGGGCATTGGGGGTCTGTGGGGCAACAGGAGCATAAGCAATCATGTCTCCCACCCTTTCATCCTCTCAGTGAAGTTAACAAAAACTTCATGGATGGTGCTCCACTCAAGGAGAAGGAGAAGGGGGGATGTCTTCCACTGGATCTCACAGTAAGAAGGCAAGATGCATGTCATACTCATCATGGATGTGATCAGGGAGGCTGGAGAACAATAGACTATGCTGCAGCTGTCACAATGTGGGGAGAACAATGAACAAGATTGGAATAAAGACAGTGCAGGGAGCAGGGAGGAATGATCCATATGCTTCATCAAGAGGGGAGACCAAAACAACCACATAAGACCTTTCTAACCAAGTGACAGACCTGAGGTGACCAAAGAACATCCTTTTGGAAGTCATACTAACAAGAACACACTGACCAAGCTGCATGGGATGAGATGGGGCTGACAGTGATGGGATGAACCAGGGGGCTTCAGGATGGAAGCTGGTGGGAATGCCTGGCAGATATATGTAGCCACTGTCTCTGGCAAATGAGACAAGCAAGATGATCAATGAAGAGGTGGCCATTATTGATGGACTTAGCAAAATGAGCATCTGATGGATGGAGTGCCATAGAAATGTGTAGGGTGTGAGGACCCTCTCCAAATTTGGAAGGCAGAATTGCATGGCTGAGCACTTTAGGTGAGTGTGAGAATGGAGTCAATATCTTTGGAAATGGTGGAGATATGACAAAAACCAGAATGCCATACATGGGTGTTAAAAACCTTTAACATGCACTTAACTCACTTCCTCTTTTCTCTTTAGCACTGACAACTCATTCTTGTGCAAAGGATGACTGCTCTCATCCAGCAGCCTTTCTACACATGAGGCCTTTAGTCTTCATCTGCATGGCATGGGCATTGCACACAACTTGTTGACAAGTTAGGCAGAGTCAGCTGTAACCATGTCCACAACACCTTTGGTGTGTGACAGCATGTAGTACAGGGTACTCCAAGCATGTGGTGCAGAGAGCTGAGACCAGCTGTTCTTGCATGAACACTGGTCAGAGGTTGTGGGGGTTTGCCTGGGCATAGCCCCTATCCCCCTCTTTGGGGTAGATGTCCCATCATCTAGTGAGAGCATTGGGCTTAGCACTGAGCTTACCCAGGTGGAAACAAATGACAAGGTTGAACTGTGATAGGTACTCAGACCACTGAGCTTGCTGGCATGTGAGTACCTTAGAGGTTGAGAAATACTCTAGGTTTTTGTGGTCAGTGATCATGTCAATGGGTAGAGGGGCACCCTCCAAGTAGTGTCTCCAGGCCTGGAAAGCCTCAAAGATAGCTAGTAGCTCCTTATCATGGGTATCATAGTTGAGTTCTGGCACAGACAGTGCCAGGAGTGAAAGGTGACTGCACAAAGTTGCTTGTCTTTGCTGGTAATGGACAGTATGCCAGTGTGGCATAGTCTGAAGCATCAGTTTCCACTGTGAGTTGAGCACCAGGAACAAAGTGAGTAAGGATGGGAGCAGTGGTGAAAGCCTTTTTGAGCATGTTGAAGGCTGATCAGCACTCCTTGGAGAAGTTCCAGGGTATGTTCTTTTGTGTGAGGTGGGTCAAGGGGACAACAATGTCCAAGTAGTTGTAGATGAAATGTTGGTAGAAGTTGGCAAAGCCCAGGAAGGACTGAATGTCTTTGACCTTCTGGGGTTCAGGCCAGTCACAGATGGCTTTGATTTTTTCACTGGACATAGTGAGGCCAGTCAGTGAAAGGCAGTAGCCTAGGTATTCTACCAACTCAGAGTGGAACTCACATTTTTCTGATTTGGCATACAGGCCATGTTTCTGGAGTCAGCACAGAACCTCTTTAACATGCTGCTGGTGTGAGTTCTCATCATTGGAGTAGATGAGTATGTCATCCAGGTAGACCATGACACATACATCTAGGAGGTCAGTGAACACTGTGTTGACAAAGTGTTGGAATGCTGCCAGGGTGTTGGACAGACCAAAAGGCATGACAAGCCATTCAAAGGACCCATACTGAGTGCAGAATGCAGTTGTCCATTCATCACCATCAGCAATCTGGACTAGGTGATACACATGCCTGAGGTCAATTTTGGTGTAGATCTTGGCCCAAAATGGCAAGTCCAGGAGGTTGGTGATGAGGAGGAGTGGGTATTGGTCCTTTTTGGTGATCTTGTTCAAGCCCTGAAAGTCAACACAAAGCTGAAGGGAGCCATCCTTCTTCTTGACAAAGAGGACTGGCACTCCATGGGGGGAAGAGGTCAGTCAGATGAACCCAGTAGCCAGGTGCTCATCTAGGAAGGCTCAGAGAGCTTCTAGCTCTACTGGTGACAGGGAGTGGATAGGGCTGAGGGGTGGTGATGAGTCTCCTTCCAGCTTGATCTTGAGACCATGTTCTCAATGGGGTGCCAGAGTAGTGGCTTTGGATTTACTGAAAACATTAGCATACTCATGGTACTCCAGTGGAATGCTGGAGAGGTTCAGTGCATCTTCCAACCTTGAAGACCAAAGGGAGGTGAGAGCTGAGGGATGGAGCTGGAGGCTGAACTGAGAAGACCCTTTGAGTTTACATGCCCAGACATAGGCCATGGCATTGATGAAGGCAATGGGTGGGCAAGTCAAGCCTGGTGAAACTGGTTTCTCTAATTGTGGGGTCAGATGCTCATTAGAGCCAAAGATGGTTGGTCCAGGAGCCTTAGGCTTGGGGTCAAGGGGTGATGTTGGGGGGTCTGGCACTCATTGTGCAGGCATCTGGAATCTAATACTGCTTGAGACCCAGTCAATTGATGGATTTTGTTGGGTGAGCCAGTTGTATCCTAAGACTGCCTTGCATTTGGAGTCCAGCAGGGTTGCATAGAGGGTGACTGGGGTTGCATTTCTGGAGGGAAAAATGAAGACAAGGTCTGCTGCCTGGGTGATGACTGAGTTGCATGTGCCATTGAACAGCCAAAGCTGGACTGGCAGGATGGAGTAAAGGGGAACAGAGATTTTATTTGCAAATTTTGTACCTATAAAACAGTGTGTAGAGCCAGAGTTGATGAGTACCAGGAACACCAGCTCATTGTAGGATGCTAAAGAAATG